GCAAAACGAAAACTATACTCCTTGAGGAAAAAAGCCCCTTGGGACTACAAATATGAAATCGTGATTTATGAAATAATGAAACATCTATGATCTAGAGGGTATCAAAATGTACAAGAAAAGCTTAATATTTATATATTTACTTTATTAAACATTTCTTTGAATGTAAATTGTTTAAGTTGCTTTTTTTTTGTACTAATACTTTCTCTTCAATTCTGTAGACAGACATTATTTCTTGTTCAATTCCGAAGTTCTATTGTTCAAGTCCTGTAATTGCCGGGTCAAGAATTCCGACTAATTTGTCAATCGAAATTTTTTCGTTTCCAGTAACCTCTATGACACTTTCTTCACTACTGGTAGTGGTATTTTCTAGATGTAGAATCATATTACAGATTTCGGCGTCCGTTAATTATTAATGATTGGAACATTGCCATCGCAATGAAAAACTTTTGTTAAATCATCTTCGCTTATTACCACTTCGCCACATTTCTTTACAAAATCCATTAATTGGAAAAACAAGTACGGAGCCAAATTTTTGGTCACACAAATTTATGCTAAAATGATTTTTTTTTCGATAACGAGGTATTTTATTCAGTACCGACGTGAAATTATGAATCCGAATTCTCCGCACGCTTTCTTACGGGAAAAAAGTCAAATGCGCGCGAGTAAAGCATTAAAACACTTTTCTAAAATGCTTTGCTGGTGGCTTTATAAGGTATTTCTCTCGCCTTCGTAGCATTCCTTCGTGGTGTAATGGTCAGCACGCTTGACGCGTATTCGAGAGGTCCGTGGTTCGAGTCCTGGCGAGGGCATTGCTCATTTTTCATTTCTTCTGCTTCGAAAAGAAAAACTCCTTATGTCCCTACAGTGGCGCCCGAACAGAGACAAAAAGGTGGTGAATGATGATTTTTCACCACCAGGATTTGTCGATTGGGTCCCCTAAACCCCAGTGTCCTTTAAAATGGGGAGTATATAAGGTATTTCTCCCGCCTTCTTAGCATGCCTTCGTGGTGTAGTGGTCAGCACGGTTGACGCGTATTGGAAAGGTTCGTGGTTCGAGTCCCGGCGAGGCATTGCTCATTTTTCATGTCTCCTGCTTCGGGGGAAAAAAACTTATTGTCTATACAGCTTTACGGTCCGGAGTTTAGATCATTCCGGGTATTGGAGGTCCGGATTACGGACTTTGTACTGTACTACACAGAACTCGGCTAATATCATCATTCGTGTATTGTTATCGAATCGCCGTAATTCTGCCCGTTTGTATACAAAAACCTGAAAAATACGTCGCGATCATCAAAATATTATCGAATAATTCTTCTGAAACAGAAGCAAAGTCGCCAAATAAGTCAAAATGGATCATACAAATTGCAAAGTGACGGAGAAATATCGCGAAGTGAGGGAATAAATCGCTAAATAGCTTGTTTTCCATTTTAGTCCATTTAGGGCTTATTTCTGACCTTAAGATTGGATAGAAAGGTAGTCTTAGTTTGGCGTAGATTTCGAATAATTTTATTTATTTTTTATTATTTATTTTTGGGTGACAGAAGCTGGTCCCTGTTTTTCAGAAGCAACCCCCCCCCCCCAAAAAAAAAAAATTCCCCAGATATTTGTTTACCCTTCTTTTGTAAAAAGAAATCTCCGGAAAGTATTTACGAAAAACTAACGTTACTTTATTACCTAATTACAATTTTTACACTGGAATGTTCTCTTTCAGTGAATAAAGGCTGCTCTTCGAGTGTTAAGGTTACTGCATATTATTGTGTTAAGATTAGGGGTACTGCATATTACTGTGTTAAGATTAGGGGTACTGCATATTATTCTGTTAAGATTAGGACTACTGCAAATCATTTCCAGAAATGTTTTGAACTCATTGAATCAGAACAAGAATGTTTTGGACTTTTGCATTTTCGTAATTAAAATTCTGTGAAAGTACTTATTTAAGTGTTTTTAGTTGTATTTATATTCAATTAGTAAGTTACACTGGTATTTTGAGGATATTTTTTCTCGTCGTATAATGTTATCATTTTGTTAATATTACCAAAATAGTCGTGGACAAAGGTTTTGTTGTTGTTGTGACTTATCTCGTTTGTTCAACAGTAACATGAGAAGAAGCCCACGAAATTCATTGTGGCAAGGAGAGTAAAAGATTGCACCTGTCATTGGCAAGAGCCTTGAACAGCATACAGGTGACAGTCCGACTTTGCTCATTTGTGCCCCCCCCTCATTTTGATGGAGAGCTTCCATGGAAGACGGGTCCGAGGATCTCCTACCTCTCTGACCTTATGACCAAACTCTCGAGAGGACTCTCGGCTCGCATCTGGAATATTCGACAACTTTGCCAAGCCGCCGATGGCTGTAAGTCGGCCTTCTCAATAAAGATGCCAGCACCTTTACGCGATTCGGCGATTCCTCGCCAAGACAGAAGCCATCATAAAGGTGCTCCGACGATAAAGGTTCTAGCACCTCGAAGGAAGGTAGTTTCTCCAAGTTAGAAACTGACCTTCATATTGGTTCTATTACACTGCGGGGGGGGATTGGATAGTTCTATATCTCCCGTTCTACTGGGCAGATTGACAAAATTCAAATTTCGTTTTGCATGTCTCGAGAGCGCGACTTAGGTTATATATTAGATTTATATATAGCGTAGTTCTAATATAGGTATTTTGACGCAAAATCGGACTTTTTCTGAAAGGACATGCCAGTTGTTTTCAATATTTCGATTCTACGACTCCAATTATGCCTAAATATTAAATTTTGTAAAATTTGGTGGGAATTTACGGAGAAATTCAAAAATTTATCTTGGCGTATTTTTTTTTCAGCGAAGAATTTACTTGGCGAATTTATACCAACCTAATTTTCCTTTCCTGTTTTGTATTGCTGACGAACGGGAAAAAAGTTATCGTTTTTACTTTCAAATAATTTCGACAAAGTGCGTAAGACACATTTGCCGTTATTATGGCTTCCCGCCCCCCAAAAAAAAGTCAAATTTAAAAACTCGTCAGTAGGTAATTTCATGTATATCTTTAAAATTTTGAATTAAAAAACTGTAATTTTTTGCAGGTGTCCCTAAAAATACATCTACTTTAAGAGAATGTTAAAAATTTTATAGATAATGATTCAAAATTTTTTCGAAAAATATATAAAAATTAATTATTTAAAAATACAAATTTTAAAAATAAAACATAGAACATATGCGATTATATTTGGATTAAGACTAAAATTTCGAATTCTGGAAGAAGGAATCAAGCAAGTTTAATAAAAAAAGAGATATTAATAAATATATATCTAATTAAATGAACATTGAGGAGCTAAAACTTTGAGAGCTAATTTTTTAAAAACTACTCGTGCGATTTTAACAAAACTTAGCAGTTTGGCCTAATTTGACTCATAGCATGGAAATATTGAAAAACATTGGCATGCCATTTCAGAAAATGTCCGATTTTATGACAAAATATCTAAGTTAGAATAACGCTATATATAATTCTAATATATATCCAAAGTCACGCTTTGAAGACGTGAAAAACGCAAGTTGAATTTCGTCAATCGGCCCAGTAGAATAGTAAATATACAACCGTTTTTTTTTTTTTTTTTTTTTTTTTTTTTTTAATCGCAGTGTATCAGCACGTCGGCGAAAGCTCCGTTCTTCGAGATATAAACTGAACTTAATGGCACCGGCTTCACACGGTTGAGGGCACCTTTATACCAGGGCATCTGTGGCATAAAGGGGCCGATGTGTGGAAGTTGGTGTCACATTTATTCAAGTCAGCGACTTAGATCTTCAAAGAACGCCCGGGAATCTTGATAGAGTTTGCACTCTTCGTGATGTAAACTGCACTTCCTAATGATGTTAGACACCCCTTACGTCTTGATGATCATCAGCTATCTTGAAGAACGTGCTGTCACTTTTATTCAAATTGTCGACTGTTCACTTAGATCTTCAAAGAACGTCCTGGAATCTTGATGAAGTTTGCATCCTTCATGATACATACTAAAGTTCATAAGTTCAAGGCTTAAGACACTAAAATTAAGACACTAAAAGACGCTAAAGTTAACAAAGACTAAAAGGCACTAAAATAAGTAATCAAGACACTAAAATTAAGAACTGTAATTTAGTGTCTTAAAATTAAGACACTAAAGTCTAACTTCTAAAGTCTAAGAACTAATTAAGACACTAAAATTAAGAAACTAAGCCTTTAAAATTAATACATAACTACGGGTGTCCCAGCATCTTTTCGTAACGCAAACTTCACTTCATTGCTAGACCTGCTTACTTCTTGATGATCAGCAACTCAAGTCGGCGACTCTTCACTTAGATGTTCAAAGAACGTCCGGGAATCTTTATGAAGTTTGCATTCGTCATGATACATTCTGGCTGAACTTCATAAGAGTGCCAAGCACCTTCGTGTCTTAATGCTGGAACAGCGTGGTACCTTGGCGAAGAACGGTCAACTCCCATTAATTTGCTGGTACATAATTTATGCAGTTTCACCACGCCAGTCAATCCTACCCCCGTGGACAAGGACTATTCATGGCTGGCCACAACTCGAAAGGTGGTATTATTGAGAAAGCATTTATAAATTCGTTTAACAAAAATTAAAACTGAGCCTTATTGTTTTGCGAATGCCATTAAAAACGTCTTACGATAATTCAAGTTCAATGATTGTATTTATTATTAAAATTTAAGGGATAATTCATGCAGGAATTAAGTTTTTGCTATATTTTGAGCGGATCTTTTGCGTGACTAAGCGGCAAGGATCTAACTTAGAATAATTTAGTGATATCTCTAAGAACGTATATGTACATGCATATTAAAATATGTCAAAGAAATTCTAGCATTATGTTAAAAGTACATAAATCCAGGTATAAAATACCAGGAGAATTTTTACATTAAAATCAAGAAAGCATTTTTTTCTCATAGTAGTTTTGGGAAATGTGTGCTTTCTTAGCGTAAACCCTGGCCGGTCAGGGGGTTTTAACATTCTTTTATCTCGTTTGTTTTCCAGGTAAGATTTCTATCGATATACATAGGACGTCATTATATTACGAGCCTGTACTCGTGCACGTGGAAGAAGTGTTGATTTTGGCAGGACCCATAGTTGACCGGAAGTACGATCCTGAAAAGGAGAAACGATTATGCAGGGCTCTCAGGAGCAGGAGACTCGAGGACGCCCAGCCGCCAGACCCAGACGGTCCAGGTGTTTCTGCCAGCATTTCTTAAATATTGATTCCAGCTATCATATTATTCTTATTTTTAGATACAAACGAAAAATAAATTGAGGTACTTACGTATTATCACAACCATCTTAGTAGAAAACGCCAAATTTTCACGCTCTAGCAGCCATGCGCATAAGTACACTTCAGAAAACCATGCCTTCTTTTTATTGTAGTTCAAGTTTCGACGGTTTTCAATTTCGAAGGAACTATCGATTTCGACGAGTTTCGAATGCAAATTTCGACCAGTACCGAGTATAAATTTCGTCTAGTTTCAAGCCAAATTTCGACGAGTTTCGAGTCCAAATTTCGACGGGTTTCGAGTCCGAATTTCGAGGAGTTTCGAGTCCAAATTTCAGCGAGTTTCAAGCCAAATTTCGACGTGTTTCGAGTCCGAATTTCGAATGCCTTATGCTCTGTATTAGTTTTCCGCGAATATTTCGAAAGCGGTTAAGAAATCGGCCGAAGCAGATGGTGATTTTCCGAATAAGTAAATAAATAAATAAAAATAACTGGTAGTAAAACAAATATTAGTTGTTCTAACTCTGTTAGATTACTGTTAAGATCGTATTAATTTTCTCCTTAGAAGAACGAACAATTTTCCAGAAGAGTGTAGAATCTTAATAGCAGAATTCGAATTTGCTCTTTATCAGCTTTTCGCGAAAACTTCGAAAAAAAAAAAAAAGTTCTCCGTCCTCTTAAATGAAGCCTCTTCACTCTGCGTAAAGCCCGGACAAAGCCGCGTAATTCAGCTAATTAGTAATAAATTTTCGTTCGTGAGCGTTTTAAAAGAACAAATGCTGTTAAGCAATACAACCGTACGCGGAACCATTCGACGAATCATCAATTATAGTTTCACGTTTCCGGATATACGCTTTATTGCACTACATAATGACACCAAATTATTTCCCGACTCGTTTTCTCAGATATATTTCGCTTGAAAGTTAGGTTATTTAAATTGGCAGCTTAAATAGTTGTTTAGCATTCAAGCACGCGGAACTTATATCAGGAAAAGATGAATTTTTTTAACAGTTTTTGTTAAAAATATATAAGAGTGTAGGAAATAATAAAAAAATAAATTCTGAAAGATTTCAGATTTTACATTACGCCCAAAGGGGCGTTTTATTAACGTTTCGTGTGTTGTCTTTATTAATTAAATATCATGTTCTTCGCACTTGAACCATAAAATTCAATTCAACAGCAATATCGCAAAACAATTTTTAAATGAGCCTATCTTTAGAATTTTCGATACACAGTCTCGCACGCTGGAGATAAAAATGTTTTTTCTGTACAACGTTGCCATGGCTCGCTTTGAAATCCTTGAGTTTGTTAATCAAAAATTCGTTAACGTTTTTACAAAATATGAAATTGATAATAAAACAAATTCCAAATTTGAGCTTCCAGATTCCCATATTTGCAGTAGGATTACGTCATTCACAATTGGGTGGCTCTAGGTACCGTTGTTATATCACAGTGCGAGAAACATACATACTTTTATGCAGATTCTTCATTATTTAATTTCTACAAGTATAATACAGGGCGATAATATGGGGAGGGCAACCGTTTGAAAAGGGAAACGGACATTCAGAGTGATTCGACGCAAAATCGCAAAACGAAAACTAGTCCCTAAGGCACAAAGCCCCTTTGGACTAAAATTGCACATGTTATCATAATCAGGGCTCGGCGATCACAAATGTACGCCATATTCGCCTAATAAACATATTTTCTAGCCATCGATTTATTTATCGTCTGTTATTCTCTTCAGGCGACCGACCGAGGGGTTTCATGGAGAACCTGGCGACGACGATCCTCAACAATGTCCAGGTGAGTAGAGCGTAACGACTCCGGGAAGAGCCGCCCCATCACCGCTGTGCCGCATTCGTGACACCTAGGCATCTTAATGGGGTGACAGTTTTGGGGCGGCCTCGACACGTGTTTGTATACTCTCTTTCGGAGTTCGAAAAGGCCAGCGTCCATTTGACGGGCCCCCAAAACATCCGTTTTTGTTTTTCTGCGTTTCGAACGAATATTGTCTCGTCACGAATGACTGACCCGTGCGAAGTGGAACGGTTACGGGTTCGTTTGAAGTGTGTCGGCTATTAACATACCTGGGAGTACACATAGAATGTTTTTAAACAGCTTAGGTTTAAGAATCAAGGATCTTAATCTTAAAAATGACGCAATGTTCTTAATTTTTTTCTTTGAAATACCAAAAAGTTTATTATTTTTTATTTTTTAAATCCCTGTTATTAGCTTACACTCTCCTTATATCTTGTTAAAATTTTCAATCATTAATAATAATTTTGAATTGTTAATCTTTTAAATCGTTTCAATCATTAATAAAATAATCGTTAATCGTCCAATAGTTTTCAATCGTTAAAATTAATAAATCGTTAATTTCAATCTTGTTAAGTTTTCCATCCTTAATAACAATTCCTTTTATTCATCCACTCAAGTTCAAATGCATTTTTTAAACTTGTAGTGGATGGCACATGATGTTAATACAGTTTTTCCACATATTAAAGTGAATTCCTACTTATTGATTCCTGTTTGTCGGAAGTACAAATAGACTGTTTTGATTGAATAAATATGTTATAAGATATACAAATAATGACCGTTTATTAGGATTTCTGACGTGCTGTAAAAATTAATTTTATAACAATTTATAAAAAATAGTACATGACTGTAATAAAGGGGATTGTAATATTTAACAAAAATAAGTGTAATAATTTTTTACATAAGATATTGTAAGTCTATGTAATTAAAGAATTGTATTTTTATAGAGTTGGATGAAGCGGAAGTCATATCTCATTATGTAGTGAAAATTCTCCCCATATTTCTGTGTTAATGTGATAATAATGTATAAATTTGGCAATAATGGTGTTCATAGAATCGAACAATATCAGTGCAATTCCCCGCCAAACGCATCTACGGTGCTGCTGTACGAAGAATGCTACCATTAATACTATCACGGGCAACAACAGTACATAAAATACAAGGTAGCACTGTAGATTATGCAGTAATATGTCTAGGACGAAAGCTGTTCGCAGAAGGTCAAGCATATGTCGCCTTGAGTCGTGTGAAATCATTAGATGGAATATTAATTGAAGAACTGGAGTGCTCGAAACTCACTGGAAAGGTTCCTTGAAATAATGAAGCATTACAAGAGATGGATAGAATGAGAAATTGTAGACCACCGTCAGCTTCATAAATTAGAAACGAAAAAAATGTTAATAATGTTGAATGAAGCGGATGTGATGTCCCATTAGCGAAAATTCTCCCCATATTTCTATGTCGTGATAATAATATATGTTTAAAATACAACCTTTTAAAATGTCCCTTATTATAATAAATAAATAGTACTGTAGACTATGCAGTAATATATCTAGGACGAATTCTTCGCAGCAGGTCAAGCATATGTCGACTGGAGTCGCGTGAAATTATTGGATCGAACATTAATTGAAGAACTGGACAGCTCGAAACTCACTGGAAAGGTTCCTTGCAATAATAAACCATTATAAGAGATGGATAGAATGAGAAGTTATAGACCATAAATTAGAAATTAGAAACGAAAAAATGTTAATAATTTTAATAAAAAGTAACTAAAATAAAATGTTACATGATACAGGATGTTACGAGATAATGTATGCAGATGCCAAGATACATGCATGATACAAGGTGCAGAATAAGTTACATGATACAGGATTATGCTAGATATATGATACAAGGTACAGAAGATACCAGTATTTGCAGTTGCCTAGATACATGATACATAAGAACATACGGTGCATAAGCTACATAGGGTGACATATATGAGAGCTTACATTACCTTACTCGCAGGTGAGATACATAAGATGACATATACGTACTTAAGAACATAATAATCATAAGGTGCAAAATAAGTTACATAATGCAGGATGATACAAGATATGTGACAAAGAGTGCAGAAGATACAGATATATTCTGATGCCAAAATACATGATACATGAAAACATGAGGTACACAAGATATTGTAAAGATTATGTTAATTTTATAACAGTTACATTTTAAGTTAAAGTTCCTTTCCTGTCAGATTCTTAATTTCAACTACTACTTCCGGCCAGAAAGTAATTTTGGAATCATTCTGAATATTTAATGAGGAGGAGCGGTATTTAAACCGCGAAGTCTACTTACAGAGTTAGAGAGAATCAGAGCTTCTGATTTGCGCGCGTCTGCCTTTTGGCTACTGTCTCTCTCAAAGCTATTATTACGCTCGGCCGTATTCAGGCCCTTGATAAGCTTTGTAGTCAAATAGAGTTAAGGGCCAACTCGATTAGAATCTTGATAGCTTCGGCTATATTTCTTTAGTTAATATTAGTTTTAGTTTATTTCTTAGTCTCTTAAGTTCAAACCCAAGTGTCGGCTTTGATTGTACACTCCGAGACGGAGTTTTTTTAAATCTTATTGGAATAATAAAAAGTTAGTTACCCTTTCATCTTGTTGTTTCTTGTTGAACTTAAGAGATTATTCGCTAACTAGTTCTTAAGATTCGTCACTTTCTACAGTAATTGAGAAATACACTAGGAAGAATCTTACAATATAATAGGTGACATACATAAGGACATACCTAATGTGTCATAGATAGGTGCAGAATAAGTTATATGTTACAGGATGCCACGAGATATATGATATAGACATATGCAGATGCCAATATATATGATACAAAATTCAGAGTGAGTTACATGGACAGGAAGTTACGTGATAGAATACGTGGTACTAGGTGCAGCATAAGGTACATGATACAGGATTATCTGTACAGCTATGAAAAACTTTCTGGAGAGATAGAATATACCTAGACGATGGGAAAAATCTTTCCTCGTGATTGGATACGACTCCCGATGACATCATTTCCTCTACGCGTAGGAATGCCTTGACTTTGCTTGGTCTCGAGAGTATACTTCCAAACGTTAGTTTATATTTTGATAGCAAAAATTTGATAGCCTAAAAAGATTATTACGTGCGTTGTATTTTTATTGTTGTGAGATTACATTTCTTACAATATCTTAGTGTGGCGAATTTAATATAAAAAAATTTAGTATTTTTTTCCTAGGGAGAAAAAGTATTATTTCTTCTTGGGCTAACTCGGTAAATGTGTATTAAGTACATAGATTTTTAATAAATATATTCTTAATTTAAAACACTTCATATTAAAGGTGTCGTTAACATTACTTCATGTTCATTAGATATCCATTTTCTGCAGATGCAATCTCCAGAAACATGATTCAAGTCAGTTTTCGGAAGTAGTAAAAACGACGTTGGAAGCTAACATAGTACACAGTAAATTTACAATATTTATAATCAGTCTGAAAAAGTAAAATTTATTTTTGAACTTAGACTAATATAGAGTTAGAACAGAGAAATAGAGATACGTATTTAAAACTTTAAAATATTACTTTATGAATATTGCCCATTTTTTAATGTGTAACATCTTTTGTACCTTTGCATAAAATTAGTGTTTATCAGAGAAGGAAGTTTCTTTTCTATACACATACATCAAATTCAGCGACAATACCGAATGCGCTTTTTTCTTTCATTTAAGGCAACAGAATTTTACAAATGACATGGACGTTAACATGGAAATACCATAACATTTGCAGAGGAAATATTTCTGCAATGTGAAAGGAACAGAATGCAATAATGACAATATATTTACTGGCACACAGTGCTTTCATAATTGGACCGAGATAGTCGCGTTTTGGTTTTTGCATTCATGAACTCAGCTATTTATATAATCTAAGCGTTTAAGATTGCTTCTGATATTAACAGCGTCTTTGAAAGGTTTTACAATTTTATCATTTCTTGAAACAGAAAGCCATCTGCAGACACCGCGGTTAAATTTTTTCGTTTCAAAAGAAAATAAACTATAATTTTCAGACCTTCCGGTGTCACTCATGCGCGTCATTCAACGAAAACAAAACCGTATGAATCCCGCCTAAACATCATTAGGCCAATTGAAAATGGAAACCGGAAAGTATGTCCAATCACAAGTACGGACTTTTCCCTATACGCGTAGCGTGGTACGGAATGCTTATATGGTCCGGAGTCGTAATTTCGAACATCTTATTTAATGACGATCGTTGTTTGT